CTGCAGACAGTGTTTTGGAGATGGGCTGCATTGGGCTGGCTGTATGATTATTGTGCTCTTGGGACAGCAGCGTCGATTTGATGTGCTCGATTTCTGCTATCACTTACTGAAAGTACAGAAGCATGATGGCAAAGACGAAGTAATCAAGAATGTGGTAAGTTGACAGAGGCAGCTTTGTTTCTCACTTTGTGTTTTGTTTTGATATTGTTCCCTTTTTCTGACTAGAGTTTTGGTTTTATAGCCTTTAAAAAAAATGGTTGAGAGGATCCGCAAGTTCCAGATCCTGAATGACGAGATTATTGCTACACTGGACAAGTATTTGAAATCTGGTGATGGAGAAAGCACACCGGTGGAACATGTCCGCTGTTTCCAACCTCCCATTCATCAGTCTTTGGCCAGCAGCTAGAAAAGATCTCTGCTCTTTTGAAAACAATGGACAGTTACAGCACATGTTGGAAGTATTTTGCTGCCTGAGAGACTGTCCTGCTCTTCATTGCTTTCCTGTATCAACTGAAACTTTTGAATGGTTGTTTCCCAGCTCAATAACTGTATACAAACTTCAGTTTTTAGACTTTTTAAATACTTTTGATAAAACACTTTGCAGTGCAACTATTTTAGGCTTAAATCTTTGCATTTCTCCAGAACTTGTAATTGTTTTAGAGGTTTAATATAAGGGATCTTTATTTACTTGGCCTGCTAACAAAAATGAGTTTTATTATAGGAGTGTGCTGAAATGTTTTTGTATAAAAAATATTAAGTTGTTCAGCTTATCTTTAAGGACACTCCATTTGCTATCTTTTAATCAATAGAACGTTCTTTTTAGAAAACTATTTAGCCCCAATTTGTAATCAGCTTTGGAAATAAAAGATTTTAATGAGATTTTAAAAGTAAGATTGTAAGATAGAAATTGTTAATGCTTTGTGTTTATTATTCAGGTTTATGGATCAGTTAATACACTTAGAATAAATGACTTCTCCTGCTTTTTAGCTTCTAATATAAATGGTGAATCTGAGTCCCATGTTTTAACATCACAGTGGAAGCAAAGTTGAAGGTGGAGTCATTGTGCAATGATACGTAGGGAGCACACCTTACTTACTCACACTTACATGCTTAGAATTCTGTTTCAAGGTTTGTTCAGCTTTAGAAACAGTAGTTGCTTTCAGACTCTTAATTCCTCAAGAATATTTATACTTTGATGAATCATGGTTCAACAGTTAGAAGTTCTCTAAGAGTAGTTTATTACTTCTCTAACAAAATTCTGCATTAAATGTTAATTTTAAAGTATTGTTTGGCTTGCCTGGTCTAAGAGTCACTGTTTCAACTAGGTATCAAGTCAAGACATGTTTGCAAGAGAGATGATCCCTGTACCCAATTTTCTAGGTAGTCTTGCAAAGCTATTCTAAGATTATAGATTATCATACCTAAAAACAAGGATGGGCAAGCCATAGCCACATTGTTTCTTTCTAGTTTAAAGCAGGAAACAGATGGGCTAGGTTCACAAAATATGTTGTGTCCAAACAACATATGGCCTGGTTCACACAATGTGCTGAATTTCAGAGTATTCAGTCCCACAGTAATGTGTTGTTGAACTCTACCATAATTTTTATAATGTAAATCAGCAGCCCCCAACCTTTTTGGCATCAGGGACCGGTTTCATGGAAGACAATTTTTCCACGGATGAGGGGGGATGGTTTCGGGATGATTCAAGCGCATTACATTTATTGTGCACTTTATTTCTATTATTATTAGAGTGTAATATATAATGAAATAATTATACAACTCTTAGCACGCAACCTAGATCCCTTGCATGTGCAGTTCACAGTAGGGTTCGCGCTCCTATGAGAATCTAATGCTGCTGCTGATCTGACAGGAGGCGGAGCTCAGGCAGTAATGCGATCAGAGAGTGGCTGTAAATACAGATGAAGCTTCCCTCTCTCGCCTGTCACTCACCTCCTGCTGTGCGGCCCGGTTCCTAACAGGCCACAGACCAGTACCAGTCTGTGGCCCAGGGGTTGAGGACCCCTGATGTAAATCCTAAAATAGGCTTACTTGGTATATTCTCCAGAAATAAAGGATGGGAAGTCATTGTCCTACTCATTTACATTGTACAGCCCTGCTCACTGCAGCCCTGCCAGTTAAGATTGCCCATCCCTGCTTGAAAAGATTATATGGGTAGTCCTTGTTTAATGGTCACTCATTCAGTGATTGAAGTTATGGTGCTGAGCAAGGGGTACTTATGACCAGGCCCATAGTTGCAGCCATCACAGCATCCTGCAGTCACGCAATCACCATTTGCAACCTTCACTTCTGACAAGCAGTCAATGGGGAAGCTGGCAGGAAATGGCAATCATGTGACTGCAAATGGCAATCACGTGATCGTGGGACACTGTGACTGTGAAGGATTCACCTAACAACTGGGACTGCTGCAACTGCCATCATGTCAGCCTTACCAGGTAGACCAGACAGGAAACATGACCAGATTGGCTAATTCTACTTTATTGCAAAACTACATTAACAGAATCTTGCAAGTCTGAAAGTACAATTCTCTCGCCTTCACCTTTACAGCCTACTGTGGGACTCAGGTCCCTTCTGAGCCTCTTGTTCCACCTACTGTGCAGCTGCCAGCTATGCTGTCTCTTATCTGACTGTCCCCTAGGCAGCATTTCTTTGCCCCATCTCCCAAGGTCCTTCCCACATTATATATTGTAAGTCGGTGCAGTCACATGAAATCACACCTGACTTCATCACTTAGCAACTGTGTTCCTGGGCCCAATTACCGTCAGTAAGCAAGGACTACTTGTTCCGCAGAACACTTAAAAGCCGCTATAAGAAATACTCCACATTGTATTTCCCACAACACATGCCTTCAGTCACTATGCAAGCATCTGTCTTTGTTCCATTCCTGTTCTTTTCAAAATTTTGAGAGTTTTCTTTTTCTCAGAATGCAATCAACTGCCAAACTAGTGAAGGTAGATTAAACAATTATAGTTCTATGGCATTTGATGCTCTCTTCCCATTACATTTCAGTAGGATGTTGTTTTTTTCTTAGCTCAGTCATAGCTAACTTCTATCTTCCCAATTTTGGAGGTCAGCTTCTCAATTTTTTTCTTTTCCATATAGAGGCTGAAATACAATCTACAGGCACACTTCCATTTACAAACGCATATTCCTGGCTTCTACCTGATAACTTGTCTCTGCTTTAGATGGAGTAAAAAGGTATATTAATTTTTTACTGTATTTGGGGAGTTCCAGAAGAGCAGAGGAGTCAAGCTACCCAAGTAATAGGAACTACAGTGAAAAGATTAGAAGAAAAAAAAGGCAACAGTTCATTTTATTCTTCCCTCCCACTTTCAATGGGAGTCTCTTAATTTGCTAATTGTTACGCATTATTCAGTAGTAATCCCAACATGAAACACTTTAAATACTTGAAAGTATTAAGTATTCATGTGTATTTTGGGTATGTGGTAATACAGTGGGGCAAAAAAGTATTTAGTCAGCCACCAATTGTGCAAGTTCTTCCACTTAAA